CTGAAACAAACACAAGTGTATAGAAGATTAATCTCACTTTAGTTGACTGAAACAAACAAGTGTACAGAGGGTTAATCCCACTTTACTTGATTGAAACAAACAAGTGTACAGAGGATTAATCTCACTTTAGTTGACTGAAACAAACAAGTGTACAGAGGGTTAATCTCACTTTATTTGAATGACCTGTGATGTGTTACTTCAGAGGCAATATGTTTAGCATCTATGTATTTTAAAAATACTCCTAACCATTTGATAGTGGAATGCCACAATGAGTAGACTTACCACTGAAGGAACAGAACAAACTTTTAAGAAGAAAAATGTTCAATAATGAAGTAGTTAAATGTTATGGACTGAAAGGACACAATATTTTGGTGAAGCTAGCCCTCAATGCAGAGGAATTAGAACAGCAATGGGCTCCAAAATAACACTTCAGTTCAATCCAGAACTCATCTGTACAAGAGGCTATAGCTGTGAATAAACATTCTCTGATCCAAAACCCATTGCAGTTAAGCTGAGCATATATATGTTTTGGTACTGTTAAAAAAGATAATAAATAGGGATTTGATATTGATGTAAATCCACAAAAGTTCACAAAGCTATGGGAGAGATGTTCAAAGAAACTGTAAACGCAGTGGGAGAGATGTCCAAAAAAACTGTAAACTCGGTAGAAGAGATGTTCAAAGAAACTGGAAACACAGTGGTAGAGATGTTCAAAGAAGCTGTAAATGCAGTGGGAGAGATGTTCAAAGAAACTGGAAACACAGTGGGAGAGAAGTTCAAAAAATTGGAAACACAGTGGGAGAGATGTTCAAAGAAACTGGAAATACAGTGGGAGAGATGTTCAAAGAAACTGGAAATACAGTGGGAGAGATGTTCAAAGAAACTGTAAACGCAGTGAGAGAGAGATGTTCAAAGAAACTGTAAACGCAGTGAGAGAGAGATGTACAAAGAAACTGTAAACGCAGTGAGAGAGAGATGTTCAAACAAACTGTAAATGCAGTGGGAGAGATGTTCAAAAAACTGTAAACTCAATGGGAAAGATGTTTGGAGAGATGTTCAAAGAAACTGTAAAGGCAGTGAGAGAGATGTTCAAAGAAACTGGAAACACAGTAATCCTGTTTGACCACATACCTATCAGGTCATCTGTGTGGTGCCTTTGGTCTGCTTATCAATGTTCACATACAGTAAAGAGTCTATGAAAAGTTTGTCAAGATGTGTGGTTTGCCATCGACTGAATTCACCATCCTTGTCTTAATGGAAATTTCAATGTTAGACAATTGTGCATAGTCAGGCCAATCTAACTGAGCATAATCCAAGATGAATGAAGCAGCTTCAGAAGTAATAAGAGGCTTGAAAAATCATTCTTATAAAATGTGATTAACCTCAGTATAGTTACAGCCCACCACACAAATATATAATCAACTATGTACAGCTTTAATAAGTTAATACATACCCTTTTGGACAAATCGTCACTGGGTTTTCACTCAGGAAATTAGGTAAGAAAGCCACAAAGTCTGATGGGAAAATTCTCCTGTCTTTTAAATCAACTATATCACAGGAAACACAGTGCTCAGAGGTAGCTAAAGAGGAAAATTATAATAGTTAATTCTAGTCATAAAACAACAGAAATTTTATACAAAAAACTTTTATTGTAACTATTGTTAGTTTTGTAATGAGTAACACATTTCTCCAAAAACTAAAAATCTATTACAACTCATACATTTATGATTAGGAAAAACAAAATATTTTCTTTCCCTATTTCCCAATTCCTGTTCATGTCTGCTGGAAATATAAAGACAAAATTATGCAATGAAATGTGAGATTTTATGGATCCAAACATTGATGTACCTTTATCCACAGGACAGTACTGATGGTCAGGAAAGACATGACAGCATGAGGGATTAGCTGCCCAACCAAAGTAATCATCGATCCACGAGGTTGCTGGATGGGCAATGTACGTTCTGAAACAACATTAGTAAAGAAGCTTTTGAAATTGACCACTATAAATTTCAGCTGAAATTTTTACATACCAGCTAGTCTTTTCATACAAGGCCATTACATAAACAGCATCTTTACAATATTTCATACATCTGTTTCTACTCCAGAAGCAACAAATGTAGTATAAATAAATAGATTTTCTTTGTTAGCAATATCAGCTTCTTTGAAAGTAGAACATATAAAATATAACTAGTTAAAGCAAAGCCACAAGCTGCATCATTATATCACAGAACCATGCAATAAACTGACATCTACCTTAGGAGCTTCTGGTTTATACCTTGTCCTTTCTGACTGATCAAAATAAACTTGTAAAGACACTATATGTTTGAAAGACATGACTGACATATGTAACTTTTATCACCAAACCAACTTGTAAAGACACTATATGCTCTGGAGTCATGATTGAGACTCATAATTCTTATTACCATACCAACTTTTACAGACACAAGGTGTAAAGATACTGTGTGCTCTACAGACATGACTAAGACTCATAGCTTTTATCACCATACCAGCTTGTAAATACACTATATGTTTCTGGAGACATGACTGACATACACAACTTTTATCAGCAGATCAACTTGTAAATACACTATATGTTTCTGGAGACATGACTGACATACACAACTTTTATCACCAGATCAACTTGTAAATACACTATATGTCTCTGGAGACATGACTGACATACACAACTTTTATCAGCAGATCAACTTGTAAATACACTATATGTTTCTGGAGACATGGCTGACATATATATAACTTTTATCAGCAGATCAACTTGTAAATACACTATGTGTTTCTGGACACATGACTGACATGTATAACTTTTATCAGCAGATCAACTTGTAAATACACTATGTGTTTCTGGACACATGACTGACATGTATAACTTTTATCAGCAGATCAACTTGTAAATACA